CTCCAATAAGCTTTTAGGTCCTAGTAACCACAACTCTTCCCTTGTTGTCCATTTCCTAGGGCTGCGAACTGCTTCCTGCAGTTACTCTAATTTACTTCAGTGTTACCTTTTTGCTTTTTCAGTTCAGTGCAGTGGTTAAGAGCTCAGCTGCTAACCAAAAGGTCGGCAGTTCAAATTCACCAGCTGCTCCTGGAAACCCAATGGGGCAGTTCTACTCTGTCCTATAGGGTTGCTATGAGTCGGAATCCATTTGATGACAACAAGTTTTGGTGAATACCCATTTAACCCATTCCTTATGTTTCATTCACCCCGCGGAAATATCCAGCAGTTTATTTTTGACAGAACTCTTACTGATAACCATGTCATTCAAAGTAAAAGCCAGTGTTTAATACAGCTTACGAGATCCTACACAGTGATCCTGTGGCTCCTTCTCTGGGCTCATTCCTTGCCATTTTCTGACACCCACTCTGCTGTAGTTACACTGCCCTCCTTGCCTTTCCTTGAACCTACCAAGCACACTTTGACTCGCTGTCCCTGTGCCTGCAGACATCCAGATGTGCATGGCTCGCTGCTTCAAGCCTCTGCCCAAATATCACCTCAGTAGACACAACTCCTGGCAACTTATATAAAATATTTCTCTCAGCCCAGTCTGAACTCTTTCCCTGTTATCCCTTTCCTCTATAGCACTCATCACCATCTGTCTCCCCCATTAGAACACAAGCTTCATGAAAGAACAATTTTATTCACTGTTTTGTCCCCAGTGCCCAGAGCAGGGTCTGGCACCCAGCAGGTGCCAATAAATAAGGGTTGGAAGACTGAATAACTACAGAAAAACCCCTGCTGGCAGTCTGACTATTGTGTCAGTGTACTTGAACTATTACCAATGTTTAATTTTTAAAAGATGTGTATTTATTCTTTGCCTTTATTGGCTGTCCTTCCTCTTTTGGAATCACACGTTCGTAGAAATGTTTCCTGAACATAAACTATGTGTTCCCTTCCATTTAAAAATAAAAAAATTTTACAATGCAAATATTTCTTCCATTTTAAACTTTTAAAAAGTATCAAGTTAACATGATTGGCTAGCCATCAGCATTTATTGAGACGTTGGTAACTGTCCTTAAGACTGAAGTAAACTCTTTGATGGGGTGGCCAAAGAAGGAATGCAAGTCCTACACTCGAGGAGCCTATAATCTCATGAATATTCAACTTTCACCTATGAAAAAGTCTTGAGTTATAAATATGAATGACAATAAACAAAATACAGTAGGTAAGTCCTAGTTACGTGAAGAGTAATGGATGAAGGCTATTCAAACTGTAACTCCTAGAAGAGGTTGACTGTTAAGCCAGGAAGCCAGGATTTAAGAGACAAAGTTCAGTGAGGCGGACAAAGTTCCAAGGTAGAAAAGAACTAACAACAGTACTTGCAAAATCAAAAGGAAATGATAAATATCTGAATATAACTTCATCAATTACCTGGAGTCTATAGGTTACAAAACTGTGAATTTGGCCTTTGGTCTATTCATTCTTAGTTAACTACTTTATTCTGTGCTTTCCTTTAAATGCACCAAGTTCTAGTCTAAACTCAAATGCTTCTAAACTTTAAATGGCAAAGCAGAGTCACTTCATAAACTCTTTTCAACTCATCCTCACGTCTCAACTGAAATGTCATTCATCAGAAAGGCTTTTTCCAGCCACTTAATCTGAAATAGATCTGCTTTGTTAGTCTCTATCTTGGCTTTACAATCATAAATTTATTTGTGACCTTCTCATTTGTCTTCCTCACCAGATTATTAACTATCTAGAGGCAGGGTGTTTGTATTATTTTTCATCACTGTACACAGGTTGCTGAGCACAGTGCCTGACACTTAATATATATTTGATAAAATGGAATACTATATATTTCTGTGAAGCCCAGAAACCCACAGAAAACTGATTCTGACACACAAAATTTTATTTTAAATATTTACCATATTTACGTTGTTCTAGCTTCTGATACACAGAAATGTGTATCTATATGTATATATTCAATTTACAAATGTATATATTTTGAGCTTGACCTATGAAATTAATTTTAATTTAGGTCAAATATTTCATCTTTAACAATAAACCTAATTTTTTAATGAGAATCTTTAATTCCTCCAGGTAAGGGACATGATAGGAGTGGGGTGCCATCAGCCCACAAAGGAGCCTTGGTGCAAATCAGAAGACACCATGTCGTTTGGGTGAACACGGCCCTGCACCATTCCATGCTGCTTGGTGAGTGGAGCCTGGGCAGGGTTTCGGCTCCCACTGGCCACCTCAGCCAAGTGCCCTTGTACACATGGCACAGCTTGCACGCGGGCAGCAGTCCTGGAGGGGGTTGCTCAATGGTGGTGTGAGCAGGAGAGGGTAATCAGGTCACTCTTGCATAGCTACATTCTTCGCTAAAAAGGACCAATTTGATTTGTCTGGATGAGTTTGGTTGGGTATGGCTCCCTTCTCCTTACCACTTCTGGTGGTTGAGCTGAAGAGGAAGACCTCCCCAATGGAAGAAAGCCATTTTTTATGTTCAGGTGTACAGATGGTTGTGCTCTCCTGTTGGAGCCTCCAAGTGGACTTTCAAAGTTTAATCTTAGGAAATAACTCAGCATTAATTCTTGATTCCTATGAATTCATGCTGTCAATCTGGATATAGATGAGATGTGCAATCTTCCCTCTGGAAAAAAACAAATCAGAAGTTAGTTCACTTGTGTAAGACTATTTAGTGACTATTTGGAAATCATGTCAGTGGCACTAAGAATAAGCTTAGCTATAAGTGACCCAATTTACTGAATTTCATGACTAACAGTAGATGGGATCAATTCTATAGCCCATGTATCCAGAAAGAACAAGCATGTCTCATTTCAGCAATTGTTTGGGAACGGTATCTTGAAACTTAGGGTCGTAAGTTATGACAGCTGCCTCTTTTTTTTTTTTTTTTTATAACCAAAATTAATTTACCTTTAAGTGGCATTAGTCTTGAAGTAGAAAACTCAGGGAAAGCCTGTTCTAACACTATTAATGTGAACTCACCACTTTAAAGAGTGGAAGCTCAAGCCACTTAAGTACAATTTTTAAAGGATTTTTATTTTGGAAAAAGAATATAAAACTGGCATTTGGGAATAAAACCTTACATAGTGGAAAGCACCTTAGATTGCAGTCCTGGGTCCTAGTTTTAAAACTACCTAATTAGGTGAGCTTGTACACATGATTTAACTATCATGGGACTCATCTCCAGATCTATTAAATGAGAGTTTAAAGGCCTCAAATCCTTAGTTCTGTGATTTCATTTTATATTGAAAGACCTCAAAGAAGGAATGTCAGATAAAACAGACTGTGGGATCCAAAGTAGCATTTGCAATCACATACGTATACAGAAGTCATATGTATACAAAAGCCCCTGGGAGAAATGTTAAGTGCGTCAGCAGGGCCCTGAGTTGAGCTCAGGACTGGACCAGGACCAAACAGCCTAGCAGATGCTTCTCAGTTATTCTAAGCAGTCGCCTCTTTTGGAAAGAGCTTAGCTCTGGTAGTAATCAGGACCAAGGAAGTGAAACGGCGAAGCCTCACATAGCCAAAACGACCACTTTAAAGTAGTTTAATGGGCTACTCACCTCCACGATTACAAACTTTCACATTAGCTTGGAGAAATCTGTCCAAGTAAAGCAAATCCAAACATGGCGAACATTCCTCCATTGCCAAAATGGGATAACTGCCTGTCTCCTCATCAAAACCCATCTACCAGGAAATCTGTTCCCCTGTTAAATACCCAAGTGGGCAAAAAGCACTTATTGTGTGCAACCCCGTAGGGTCTCCTCCTCACGCCAACTTACCAGGTTCCCATAAACGTCGAATCACCACTTCTGAAAACGTACAAATCTTAGAAACACTTGCTTTACTCGTCTAGCTGGGGGAAAGGTTAATTTATTTGTGTGGACTCGGATATGTAGGGCATGCGATTCTGAATGTCCGCAAACCTGCCATTAATCCTTCTCTTTGAACTAACACCTATGTGTTTACACCTCCGAGGATCTCTCCCCAGGATTTTTTTTTTTTTTTCATTTAAAATGAACACCAAAGCCGCGGCTAGCTTCTTCTCTCCGCCTATCAGGGGCCGAGCAACCTGCGTTCTCGGGGAGGCGCCAGCGGAACCGGCTCAGTTCCCCGGCGCAGGTGGGGTTTTCGGAAGGGGCGCCCCGGCAGGTCTGCCCGAACGGGGGCTAAACCCTCGGGGCAGACGGACTCAGGTTCTGTATGCTCCCCGTCTCCACACCCCACACACGGGTTTGCGCCACTTCAGTAACGTACAGGGTCTTCGGCGAGGATGGGTGCCTCATCCCGGAACAGTCTCCAAACCGTCTTCACTTACTCAGCGACAGCAGCATCTGGGATTTCCCACCGCCTCTAAATCAGACCCCGAGGAAGAACTTTGAAAACCCAGGCTTCACTGTGAAATTAGTTGGGAACCGAGGAAGTCCAAGCGGGCAAGGAGAGGGAAAGGGGCCGAAAAGCTCCCTCCCGCTCACTTTATTATCCTCCCCAGCGGCCAAACGCCGGCTCCCCGCGGCAAGGGGCGGGCCAGGGGCCAGGGTGGGGGTGGCCCGGAAGGGCGCCTCCCCTCTCACCCCCCGAGGCCCACTCTTCTTACTCACTTTCTTTCGGAGCCTCAGCTCGGCCACCTTTAACCCATGGCAGCGCGGAGGGGCTGCGGGCAGGACTGAGGAGCAGCCCCGGACGCTCGCCGCTGTGCGCTCGGCTCTTGCGGGCCGGGCCGGGCACCAGAGCCATGGACGCCCCCATCAGGGCGCCGCGGACAGGCGGGCGCGCTCCGTTCCGCGCCCTCGAGGCTGGCGCAGCCAAGCTCCTCCGGCCCGGGCTCCGC